AGACACATGTTGCTTCTGCGATGAAAAAAAGTTGTCACTCATGCGCTGAATTGTTGTGTGGAGGTGTTGACTGAGGTGTCGCTTATGGTACAACGGTGTGACTAAAGTCTGCATTGATATGACATTCAGGAACGATCCGATTCTTCTGGACGGATCTTTACTGATTAAATTTATTTCAGCTCGAAGTATTTAATATGTAGGTGTTCAGATCAATTTGAGAAGCAATTTTGAAAGTAAAACTTTTTTTTAAGTCACGTAGCGCGGGGTGCTGGTCTTGACTTGGTCTCAGGTTCGGTGGTCTTAACAACAACTCTGCTACTGGCTCCTGGTTCCATGTTCTCCTCCACCCACCTTCTTTCCACCCCCTTTCTGCTGGATTTCTTTCAAAATAAAAGCCACTAGGGGCAACAAAAGTGAAGTTCATGCTATGTTAGGACAGGAGACAAGATGTCTCCATCCCTGAAATTATGATGCATAGAATCACATATCTAAGACTAAACTGTGTTACAGAGAGTTAACATAATAAAAACATGCTTTATCTGTGGCATTGATCATTAAGATGGCACATTTCTCATGTATTAAAATTAAAGACGATTGGTTCACCTAATGATATTGTATTAGGGATAAAGTAATGCATTCAGCAAGTACTTTTACTTTTAATACTTAAGTATTTTTAAAAGCCAGTACTTTTTACTTTTACTTAAGTACATTTTTTGAGTACTTTCTCCACCACTGGTGGGTGGAGCCACAGGTGTTACAGTGAAGGTGGTAACACCTGATTCATGAACCCTGGCCACACCCACATTCTGACCACGCCCCCTTCGGTTTGTCATGTGACTTCAAGGCGTTCTCCTCTTCCTCAGGATGAAGAACTCTGCAGTTCTGGGTTCTGATTGGCCAGATATCGCCGAGTTCCTGCTCAGGTACGACTCACCTGGCCTGAGCGCCCGCCGCCGTGGCTCCTCCCCCTTATGATGTCACCATTTGCCTACAGGTACAGGACTAGCGGGTCTGTGGGTCAGACGCTGCCAACTTGGCCGGTCCCAGTAGAACCAGAACCTTCCCCCGGCCGGTCCAGAACGCTACATGCCTTCAGAGCTTCAGACGCCCTGGTTCTGGTTCCGACCCATTCCTGTGACGAACTGAGGCGGCCATCTTGGATTCCTGGCATGAAGAAGCGGTGTGATGGTTGCTATGGTGACGCCCGCCCTCTGCGGCCACAACAGATCGGACCGATCAGGACCTGCAGATCAAATATGATGGAATATTTGTGGGGTTGACCTCTGACCCCAGCCAGGTCGTTTCTTCCAGTTTATGGAAATAAAACCCAACATTGATTTAGAAGTTTTTATTTATTCATGTCATCAGGATGAGAAAATTATATTTATCATTTTAATCAAATGAAAAGTTATTCATTTGTGACTCGGGGAAACGGCGCCACCTGCTGGTCAAACATGGAAAACACAGAGCTAAAAGAACTCGGGGCCCCTACAGGTTTAAACTGGAAGGGTCGGAACCGGGTCGGAACCGGGTCGGAGCCCCAACCACAACATGAGCTTCAGAGGAAATATGTCAGGGGTATGAATACTTCTGATCCGTCTGTTTCTGGCGAGCTTCTAAACTTCTTGGATTCAAGCCGGACCAGGACCAGGACCAGAACCAGGACCAGGACCAGGACCGGACCGGGACCGGGACCAGGACCAGGACCGGACCGGGACCGGGACCGGGACCTGGACCGGGACTGGACCGGGACCAGAGTGCGGGTCAGCGCCGCAGCCTGAGGAAGAAGGCGTGGCGGCACTCGCTGCTGTCCACTGGGTAATATTTATCGTAGAAGTCCAGGATGTACTCCTCGGCCTTGAAGCCGAACTTCTGGTACAGCAGCATGGCCGGGTTGCTGGCCGACACGTGGAGCGTCACGTCCTTCCCCATGCAGGTCTGAAACACACAGGTCACACACAGGTCACACACCTGTCCCGGCAGTATGTGGGCGTGGCCAGACTCACCTGGATCAGGTGGTAGATCATGAAGGTCCCGATGCCGGCGCGCCTCCACTCCGGGTGAACCAGCAGGAAGGAGATGTACGCCTCGCTGTACTTCACGTCCGGAACCATGAACCCGAAGCCCACCACCACCTTCCTGTAGAGCGCCACCACGCTGAAGTCCGGGTACTGCAGGCACTCGGACAGGTCCACACCTGGAGAGACACGGCTGAGGTCAGAGGCCGCCACCGCAGCAACAGTGGCAGGTGGGGGCGGGGCTACCTGGCCAGAAGCTGTCATGGCACATGGCGTTGACCGAGGGGATGTGGTTGGGCCGGACGTAGCAGTAGTCGATGGGAGCGTCGGGTTCTGGGGTCCAGTCCGGATCTGTCCTGTGAGGAAACGCCCGGATCTCAGCCAGGAGGCGGAGCTTCAGGGGGCGGGACTCAAAGTCCCTCCTGAGGAAGAGATGGACAGGTGAAGAAGAGACAGAGGGACACAAGGTCCAGAACCAGAGTTAAGACCAGGGCCAGGACCAGAACCGAGTGTTAGCCTCCAAAGGCCTGACCACTAGGGGGCCCCCCACAAAAATGTGTTTTTTAATACAAAAAGGCCCGTTTTGTTGCCCCGTCACTAATAAAATTAACCCTATCGTTGTTTTTACTTGTTTATAGCAGTGAGTTAAATGTTCTCCCTCCCAGACCAGAAAGCCAGCGTCCATATTTAGTGACCCCCCCGCTTCTACATGAAATGGTTTGTTCCTGCTTAGCGCGCTGGACGTTTAATAGCAGTCAGTAGAGAAAGAGATGATAACCAGCTGCCTAAAAAATAATAAAACGGGTTTAAAAAAGAACGACGAGAAGAAAGGGAGTCAATTTGAAACTCTGTTTTTCTTCAAGAGGTCGGTGGCTATCGACCCGTTAGTAGTCTGCAGCTAAGCTAACTAAGCTGTTAGCCTCTATTTCGCCAGGATTTATTCAGTGAAGGAAAAATGTTTACTGAGATATTTAAAATACAGTTAACTTGTTTGTTTTAACGCCCTTAACAGCAGCAGCCCCCCAAACCAGCCTGATTCTCACCTGTGAAGAAGGTGAGCGACACTGTGATGACATGCTAGGCTAGTTAGCTCCTGGTGAGTCAGGCTGAGCTAGGCCCAGATAGCTGGCTAATGGCAGAATGGAGGGAACAGTTTGGGTTTCCAGGTTTTGTCCAGAAATCTGTTTTCACTACTTTCAGATGAAGATGTTCATATGTTTATGAAGTTATAAAGTTATGTTAGTTACCAATCTGTCTTTGTTTTTTATATTTCAAGAATATTGGGGGAATTATTTGATATGAATTTTTGCAGTAGAGAACAGAGAGTCAGACTCAGACAGCTGCATGGGTGAACGGCGGCTGGTTCTGGACCTGATGAAGGGCTTCAGGATCCGGGCCGTGTACGGACTCTTGATGTTCTGGTCCAGACCGCCCTCGGCTCCCATCAGGCGGTGCCAGAAAGACACGGAGCGCTGCTGGACGCCCAGCCGGCTGGACACGCTGGTCTGCAGGGACAGAGACGGGTCAGAGCCAGTCGGACCCAGCAGAGGTTCTGTCCCGCCATCAGGAGGTTCTGACCTGGAAGCGGTCCAGAATCCGCTGCTCCTGGCTGCTGGTGCAGTACTTCCCCTTAGCCCCGCCCACAGGCCGTGGCTCCGCCTCCTGCGTGCCATAGATCCCTCCCACCAGGCTGAGCGCGGCGCTGACGGCGCGGTCGATGTCCAGCAGGGGGAGCCCTCTCTGACGCTTGGCATGGCGGACCAGCAGCTTCCTGCGGAGGCGCTTGGCATGTGGCGTGACGGCGAGCGCCAGCGGGCAGCCGTCCAGCCGCCTCAGCAGCAGCCGCTCTTCGTACAGACTGAGGGCGGAGACAACGGGCCGCGGCGAGGCGCCGTCCGGTTTGTCCTGAAGGTTCATCCTGCGACGCTCTGCCACCCGCCTCTCAGGAGGCGGAGCTTCACCACAGCTCGCCGGGTGCTCAAAGCGCTCTTCATGGGCGTTGTCTTCCTCACTCTCAGATTCCCGCTTGATCAGAGTCTGCGGAGGGCGGAGCTTCTTCCGGCTGGCGCTGGGTGGGGGTAGGTACTCCATCCCCGGGTCGATCATCCCCTCCGTCTCCAGCTCTTCGTCATCTGTGGGTGGAGCCGACAGTCAGGAAGTGACGTCTGCGCTGACATCAGCGGTGGGCGTACTCACCGTGGAACAGCGCCTGCGGCGGCATGGCATCCGGTATCAGGTCGGCCTCCGACAGCAGGCTGGGCGTGGCCGAGTGGGAGGCCGGAGTCCCCGGCCCGGAGAAGTCCGGTGACGGTGAGGGCGAGGGGCTGGTGAGCGGCGTCCGGTCCGACGAGCTGAGTGACGAGAAGTCGACGACCTCACCTCGCTCCAGCACCAGGTCCTGGCGGCGAGCGCTGCTGCGGCTCACACCCAGCTTGACGGGCGTGGAGGAGGCGCTCCGGTCGGCGTAGCCTCCGCCCGCCGCCTCCTTCTGGGCGCGCCGGATGTCTTTGGCCTCCTGTGTGCGGCTGCGCTTCTCCTTCAGTTGCATGGCGTTCTCCACCGGGTTCCTGGCGCCGCGCTTCCGCAGGCCCTCCACCGTGATGATGGGGTCCAGGGGCGGCCGGGTCGCTGCGGCGGAACCACAGGTCAGGGGGCGAGGCTCACTCGGCCGGTCGCCGGCACGCCAGCGCTCACCTTTGGTCTTGGTGCTGGACTTGTCGCCGTCCGGCCTCAGCGTGGGGGGGCGGTTCTGGACCAGCTTCCACCAACCCGGCTCGCCGAACTCCTGCGCTCCGGACCGGAAGAAGGCGGGGCTTCCGACGGACAGGCAGCCGGCCACCGTGCTCCACCAGGTAGACGTCTTCTTCCTGCCGACAGAGCAGCAGCGTCATCTGGCCGCCCCCCCTGGCTGGGTACCGGGCCGCAACAGTACAGGAACTGCACCATGTATGGACAGAGCCACTTCCTGCAGCCTGGTCTGGGAGGGAAACTCACCTGTTCCCCAGCAGGAAGTTCCAGTGTCGACCAATGAAGGCGCAGATGTCCTCCTTCCACCTGAAGTAGCCCTGCCGCCCCGTTCCCTCCAGAGACAGGTTGTACATGGCCAGCATCACCACCTGCACACAGGAATCCGTTTCTACCTGCAGGACAGGTGTGCTGCTGCTGAGGGGGCGGGGCCTTACCTGCTGCCAGGTGAGCCTCAGCCTCTCGAAGCTCTCCTTGCCGTCCTCAGAACAGTTGCAGCACAGGAACTTGAAGAAGTTGTCTCCCTTCAAGTAACTGGGCTGGTCACCGCGGAGCTGACCTGGAACCAGAACCAGGTCAGGATGCTAACCTGCTAGCAGCAGAGCTAATTTGTAGCTTAGCACTTTTGCCAATGTTGAACATTTTTAGTGCTCTGAGCTCTAAGTTTATTTGTCTGGAAAAATTCTGAAGTGATAATTTCCTGGGATGGTTTGAAGTTTTAATTCTACAAGTAGCTTGACGTTAATATTCACGCTCTTATTTTGAAGGGTTGCTTTTCCCTCTCCCAATATCTTTATTTTACAGCAGAATGAGTTGGGCAGCAGAGCTCTGATTGGCTCACCTGCAGGGGCAGCAGAGCTCTGATTGGCTCACCTGCAGGGACCCACTTGTGGCAGCGGTCGCAGTAGAAGGACATGTCCTCGCAGGCCCAGCCGCCGTCCGCGTCCTCGCCCAGGTCGCTGGTCAGCGAGTCTCCGCTCTGGTCATGTGACAGGTCCTCCTGGTCCTCCGACTCCACGATCAGCAGCGTCTCCCCCTCCACCTCTCCCTCCTCCAGCCCCTCTGCCGCGCCGCCACCGTCCATCGCCTGCAGGAGAGACGCCTGGATGGGTCACGTGACCTGCAGCCAGTTTAGACCCTGAATCGGGTCAGGACGTCCTCAGAACGACCCATCACGAGGGTCTTTTTGAGGTGAGTGTACCTGGCTCAGGTGTCCTGTGGGCGGAGCCTGGCCTCCTGGCCCCGCCTCTCCTCCTCCAGCTGCCGGGTCAGAACCTTCTGCTCCTCCAGCAGGTTCTGCTGCTTCCGCTGCAGCCGGTCCAGATCCCGCAGGACGCCCTCACGCAGACGCTGCACAGAACCGGGACCGGATCAGAACCAGGACCGCATCAGAACCAGGACCAGATCAAAACCAGAATCAGAACCAGGATCAGGACCAGAACCAGTTAGAGTTTGATTGACGGAGAGAACCAGACTACAACCAGAGTTGTGACCTTTGACCTGTAGAGGTGGAGCGCTGGGGTTCAGCTGGTCCCTCTGACCTCTGACCTCGGGCTGGGAAGTTTTCCTGCTGGCAACTATCTTCCTCTCTAAGTGAAGATGATGAAGTGGACCGGAACCAGCTCTTTCTCCCGGGTCACTGGTAATTCGCTCATTAAACCACAGAATCAGACGAACCCTGAGGGTTCTATCTGAACCGGATCGGTTCTGGACTTTACCTCTACAAGTCTGTGTCTGGAGGAGCCTGGATGAACCCGGTTCCGCCACCTGGTCGACCTGGTCCGGCCCGGTCCCGGTCCACTTACCTCCCTGTCCCAGGCCTGCTTGAGGTGGACCCCGGCCACCGAGCTGACAGTCAGAACCACAGAAACCGTCAGAACCACCTTGGAGGCCGTAGACATGCCTCTGGGTCACTGCAGTTAGCACGTAGCTAACAGACGCTGCTACCGCTACTTCCGCCTCCTCTTCTTCTTCTGCGGAGTTGAAGTGAAGTGACCCCTGCCGGTGGAGCGGGGTAATTACAGTTCTCCTTCCTCTGATCAGCTTCCAGCCATCACTCTGACTCAGAACTCGCTGATTATTATTTTTTATCCTTTTTTTTTTTCTATAAATAATGGGTTGATAAATATCGTCAATATTATAAACACAGAACATGCAAAACAATAATGCCAGTGGGTTATTTAGCAAAAATAACAGAAATGTAAAAAACAATGTTGAAGTGAACACATTAGTTCTTTAATGGCTTTATTTTTAGATGCTGAAATGTTGCAATATATTATTTAAAGATTATGAAGGAAGGATTGTGTTGAGAAAATGTTGATTTATGCACTTTGCAACTAATAAAATTAGTTTGATACTGTATTGGTTTGGTTTGAACCAGGTAAGATAATTTTATTTATGCCTTTTACAAGGCAATTCAAAGTGCTTTACATGAGTTAAAAGGAAATACAAACAAAATAACAAACCAAAGGAAAGAAAAAAGATGAAAGAAAACTAATCTAATGTTCTAAAGTATGTAAACTAGGTGCTCCTGTTCAGGGCTGCTAAGTATCTCATTCAATTCTTAAATAGTGAAACTCTACAGTTTCTGATCAAATAAGCTAAAGAGTGACTGATCTAATTCCTTTTCTGGGTTAAAAGTAATATAAACTAAGCAGTGACTGATTGTTAAGTATTTCTGGATTCCAAGTTCGTAGTTATTCTAATTCTAATTCTGATTCCATTTCTGGGCTGTATAATGATCTGAATAGTGCGTACTCCACAATAAACTAAAATAATCCTTTTCTGGGTTAAACAGTGAGTACTCCACCGTTTCTAACAAAATAAAACAAAAAAGAGGAAAGGACACATTAGGGCAAATGGCAACTTTCAGACAAAACAAAGGGGCAAAACAGAGACATGAGTGAAGGCGGTGACGTCACAGGGCCACAAAACCAGGTTACTGAGCCCCTGGCAAAGTCCGATAAAGGTCTTTTTTATCTAGGAATGTCCTTGGGACGCTCAGCTCCACAGCTGCATGGATACAGGAGGGGGGGAGGAGGGAAGAGCCTTGTGTTTAAATATCTTCAAGGAGATTAGAAATATGCAGCCCTTCCAAGGCCACACGGGGAAAGCCAATTCAGAAACAATGTCTTAGGTCGGGAAGATTATAAATTTCAATCTTCCCTAAAGTCTCTCCGATACATCTCAGTTCCCAATCATCCAAATTAGTTTGGTCGTTCCACTGAACCGAAACTAGCAACTTCTCCAAGATCGATTCCAACTGGTTAGTGAGTTTTAGAGTCCTCGTCTCTGTCCACACCAACAGTCTGAGTGTTCGCTAGTTCGGCCAAGTCCATCACAAATTTGTTGATAATCCAGGAATCCACAAGCTCCAAACAGCAGAAATCCTGTTATCATGAATAAATCCAGGTGAATCCTGCCAGGTGTGTCCCCACATTATAGGGGGGCTTTCCTGAGCCCGGACTTCTCATCGAGAAAATTTGATCAATTGCATTGAGAGATCAGATGACCAGATCCATAATTTGTAGATTTGGAGGATGTGCAAGAAAAGGCTCCAAAAATATAGAAAAGATAAAAACAGAGCAAGCAGGTCAGGCATGGGCAGGGAGGGAGCAGAGGGGAAAAACGTCTGTCTACATCGAGAGCAAGAGAGGAATAAAGAAAAGAAAAAAAAAACAGCTGTTTTTAAGCCTGAAAGGTTCAGGGCTCAGAGGTCAAGGGGCTAAAGCTAAAGATGATCCGGTTCTAGACTAATACCTGAACCACAGAGGAGAACAGCCCTGGTTCTGATCCATTCTCAACCATCTGATCCATATGGACAAGATCACATTTGGCATGAAAACCAAAAACAGGAGCAGGACCAGAACCAGGACCGCACCAGGACCGGATCAGAACCATCGCCTGTTCTCCACGGCGGCCATGTTGATCTGAATCGTCCCAATGAGATTCTCCATCTATGCTGCGCATCACTTTATGCAGATGATGCTTTTGTAATTCTAAACTGTTAAATCTGTTACTTCTGACTCAGTATAATCTGGTTTTAGATACAAACCAGTCTAGATCTTCATCCTGAATCACCTTTACTACTTTTATTACTCAGTTCATTTGCTCCAGGCACAGAACACGATTCAAACATTTAAATTAGAAAAAGAGCTTTAAGAAAATTAAATACCAAGACCACAACCCGACTATGGGTCCAGACAGAGGGACGTGTCCAGAGAGGGGGACGCGTCCAGAGAGGGGGACGGAGCGGTTTGGATCAGCTGCTTTATTGATCATGGAACATAAATAGGACAAAGGTTCACTGTACATCCAGAGAGCAACTTAAAAATAAATACTCACAGCAATAAATAAAGCCTGACATGAAGCGCCGTGTTCGCCTCAAGCGGTGCAGTCCAATGCTATTTACACTCATCATCATCATCATCATCATCATCATCATCATCACGTGTCACTTCCTGCAGCAACGCTTAAAAAACTAAGAAAAGCAGAAAGTGTGGCGTTTAAAAACCTTCCAGCTTCTTCTTCTGTAACACAGTTCGGTATCAAACACTTCAATCAGCAAGATACAAAAATATCACACAGCCGGTCCACCTGCGGTCCAGCTCAGAACCAGAACCCAGCAGGCCGGATCATCTGCATCCGGTGAGACCCAGAAGAGTCCGTAGGGTTCTGGAGGTTCTGATCCGGATCCTCTGCAGGTTCTGCTTCCTGTGTTACAATCGGGGCCGAGGAGACACAACGACACGACACAGAGGCGGCAGGTTCTCCAGCATGCAGCCGCCGCCAGGAGGGGGCGCTGCAGCTTTCATAGTCCAGCTCAGTGTCTCACACAGACACACACACACACACACACACACACACAGATGTAAACATGAACTCAGGAAAAACAAACATGTGAAACTTCCCGTTGTTGCATCGTCTCAGGTGGTTTCCCGTTACCATGGAAACCACCATTGGTGCTCATCAGCTCAACGCAGTAAAACATGGGCATCGTTGTCTGAATGGACCGGTTCTGATCTGAAATGAAAACTGTGAATGAAGCCACAACCCAAGTGGACCGGGTTTGGTTCTGACCGGGCCGGCACCGGACAGGGTCAGAAGAACCAGTAGTGAAGCTGTGGTTCTGTTCAGATCCGGATGATGCTGGACCAGGCTGGTCGGTCTAAAGGGCCAGTACCACATATCTGTGTTTACAGCCAGTCAGGGACTGTGTCGTCTCGAGTTATGAAAATGTTTGATGCGTTTAAAATGACTAAAGAAATTTTACTTTGCAGTTGAACGTTTTGAAATTGGGCCTCTGTCTCTTTAAGAAGCTCCTGCTCTTTCTGATCCTCCGCCTTCATCATCACGTTGCTCCTCCATTAAGACTTTCACAATGTTTTTCTTAAACATGAATGAAAGAGTCCAGGCAACACTCCAGGGATGTTTATGACGTGGGAATAACATCAAGATGATATTCTACATAAAAATGCAGCAGATTCTCAGGATCCCAGAGAACTAAAGTGGATCAAACTGGAGTTTTTAGGAGAAAAGTTAAAGTTTCAGGGATACCTGAAAACATAAAAATTCTGACCCATCAGGATCGCTGGAAAGGAACAGTTTGGTTTGGAGAAACTACTGCCATCTAGTGGTCAGGTTGGAGACAGCAACCATTTGAATACCTGCGCTGGCTTAATGAGCTCACCTGTCTGACGGGGAACAACCCAGTCCAGCATCACTGGGATCGACTGGGATCGTCCTGATCCTCAGGATCCATCCCTAATCCATCATCAGAACCACCCAGGAACAGAGGAACCAGAACCGGTTCTGTTACCTGGAGACGTGCTGGACTGTACGAAATGAATACTGGAGAGCAATCGGACACACACACACACACACACACACACACACACACACACACACACACAGTTCACAAAAGACACAACAAAATGTTTCCCTTGAGAGTCCAAACAGCTTCAGGCATCGGACCGGATGAAAAGCGCTGCTCTTCCATGTGTCCGGACATCCGAGCTCTCTGCCGCCGGAAGAGACCGAGAGTCTTGAAGGAGTCGAAGCGCTACGCTACCGACACCAACGTCCCGTTCCCTTATTCACAACTTAAGGTAGTCCAGGTGAGATAATCCGGGAGGGGAGGATCTGGACGGACAAGCTGCTGACAAACAGAGGAATCCGGGTGAGTTTGTTCCTGTGATGAATGATGTCACCTCTAGGTGGCGATGTCATGACATGCAGCAAGAAGCTCGGCGGGTCGACAGCAAACCAAAAGGATGTGCAGAACAGACATCGGAGTTTTGGGAACAGAAGGAAGGTGGGGCCGTTCTGCGTTAGCGAAGCTTCTACGGCTACGGGATCGGACGGTTGGAAAATTCAGTGGTCCGATGCTTTCGTTCTTCCGACGGATCAGGAATCGATGGGGATCAAGACACGAGTGCGAACAAACGGAAACCAGCCCAGGCACAAGTTGGACCCCACCCTCACCAGGATAACGGATGACAGTTTTGGCGTTGTGGGTATGTACAGTGACTTCCTGTGGAGGGCTGGATGGTGGCGATCCGGCGCCGGCGTCAAAGGTCAGGGTCGAGTCTTCAGGCTGAGGGGGGCGAGGCTAACCCAGCCACACTACCGATTGAGTGCGAACGGTGAATCTCCAGTTAGCCTTACTGGTAGCTGTGGTGTGGCTAGTTCCGCCCCTTCCTCTAGCTCCGCCTCCAGCTACTGGTGGACCTCGTTGGCGATCAGACTGTCCTCCCCCGACTGGAAATCCGCCTCGTTGATGCTGTTCCCTCCGTTCAGCATTTCCTCGTCCTGCGACGAGCCCCGGTCCTCCTCGCTGCTGGCGCCGCCCGGCTCATCTGTGTTCGGATCCTGCAGCACCTGGGCGATGTACATCTGCTGCTGCGGCGCCACCTGCTGCTGGACACACAGAACCACAAGTGGGTCAAAGCCGGACCCGAATGGTCCGTGACCCATTGGAGTACCCAGGTCTGGTCAGAACCTGGTGGAGAGGAGCACCTGGTAGGAGGACTCACCTGAGACTTGTTGGTTGGAGAGGATGAAGAGCGAGCCGGTCGTCCGTTCTTCACGGCGTCCACGTCGCTCTCCTTTGTGTCGATCTGAAACAGAAACGCTGGGCAGTGAGACAACCAACCGACCAATCAGCAGCCGGCCTCTCACCTGCAGCCAGAACTCACCTTGTAGTTGTGGGCGCTCAGGTACTTGAAGTGTCCAAAGCAGACGTGGGACAGACAGATCACGATGGTGACGACAAGAACCACCAGCGTGAACATGGAGGTGGGCGTATCAAAGCCTGGCAGGATGGAGAACAGTCAGAATGAGATCACAGAACCAGTCCTGGAACCAGAACCCACACCTAGTCTCGCCCGTGCAGAAGCAGAGTTGCTCACTTGTGCGGACAGTGGAGAAGAAGAGCAGCCAGAAGAGGCAGAGGATGGGTGCGGCCACCACCTGAGTCACTGCAGCTGAGTGGATCTTCTTGTCCAGCTTGGAGGGCAGGTAGGCGTAGTACATGTTGTACCTGTCCACCAGGTGTTTCAGCAGCATGTACATGAGACCTGGAGGAACAGCAGAGTTGAGTTACCTGCTCAGGTAACTACCTGCTGATGGAAGTGCTGCGTACTGACCAAAGGGGACTATGATGGGGCAGGTGATGCTGTAGGCCATCACCACCGTGAAGACGTTCATCATCCAGGCGTACGCGGCGCCGAACTGGAACTCGTAGGCCTGGTGCTGCAGAGACAGAGTTACAGTCAGACAGGACACTTCTAGGACCAGGTGTCCAGCACCGTCTCCGTCCTCCCTACCCTCTTCACGTTACGGCGGTCGGCGGCGGAGCGGGCCAGGCACAGGCGGATCATGTACATGAGCAGACCGGGGATCCTCAGCAGGTCCATGGCGTTCCCGATGAAGGCTGAGGCGATGACGTAGTTGACGAAGAATGCTCCGTTATCCGGTAAGAAGACGCACCTGAAGACAAAATCCTTTCTCACTGGCTGATCAGAAGGATGAAAATACAAACCCAGCCATATGCCTTAAAGCTCACTTCCTGTTTCTGAACCTCTGTTTGTGCTCCTGCCAGGTTGATGTAACTTTGTTGGGTTTTGTCTTTCTTTCACGTTGTCCTTGACTTTGACTGAATCTCAGCTGCTCACAGTTTATCAATTTAGGTCTAGACTCTGTTTCAATCTCCAAGTCTCCAAGTCTTTGTCTCGCTATGGATCACTCTGAGGAGAAATCCTGGTTCTGGTCCCGACCCGTAAAAGTCTTTCTGATTTTTTTCATACTTTGTGAAGCTTTGGTTTTCACCTGAATGTACTCAATTATTCTGATCTCATTTAGTCTCAGCCTCTATCGATGAGGTGCCAGACTTTGACCTGATCCCAAGTCACTGTAGTTCGGGCAGTGACTCGATCGCCGTTTTTAAAACTTGACCTGATTCTTCATCTTGGTCAAGATGAACTTGGGTCTTGGTGTCTAGATTTTAATTCACTTCTGCTTTCAGCTTAGGTTCTAACTCAGACTACATACGCCCCCTAGTGGGAACCTCGCTGCTGAAACTGTCTCTGGACTCGGTTTATCAGCTGTTCCCTGCGGTTTGTGGCAAAGTAGTGAGCAGTTTACAGAGACAAAGTGACTTACTCAAATCTGACTTTAGCGTCATCCAGGAACTTCTTATCGAACAGCCAGCGAAAGAAAACATCCAGACTGTAAAGACAGAGACATGATTCAGTGGCAGCAGAGCGGACAGGCGCTGCGGCGCCACCACAGGTACGGGCCTCCCACCTGCTGAGTCCAAGAGACGGCAGCAGCAGAACCATGAAGATCAGGAAGGTGTAACATTTGTGCATGGTGGTCCTGTTTTCTCCAGACCTGCAGGAACAGACAGAGGAACCGGTCAATACCCGCCATGGTTCTGGTTTCAGTCCCTGCTCCAATCACCGAAACACCTAATTTGGACCAAGATGGGCCTCAGTGACCCAACCCCTGGCTGATGCCAGAGATGTGAGGAAGAGGCTGAGAGGAAGCAGCGGTACCTGGTCCAGTGAGCCTCAAAGAAGGCAGAGTAATAGACGATGGTAGGCAGCAGAGCAGAAAAGGCCCAGAGCAGCAGGGTGGGGAAGAACTGAGTGATTATGGGGTTCTGTCCAGAAGAAAACACAGAGTCAGAACCAGAGCAAGACCAGAACCAGAACTAGAGTAGAACAAAGATGGCCCAAAGAGTTGCTCAGAGGAACACAAACACAGGGCGGTTCTGCTTACATTCAGATACTCCACAGGCTTGGTGACGTTGAACTTGTCCATGGTGGAGATGATGATGGCGGGCGTCGTGAGGAAGAAGAGCAGGATGAAGAGGATGCAGTTGATGATGAAGCAGCGGATCCACCAGGAGATCCCACCCAGCGACAGGTGCTCCCTGCAGGAAGGAACCGCAACACGTCAGCAGGCAACGCAGCCACGGGTCTGTTTTACAGGCGGGCGGAGCCTGTGGGCGGAGCCTGTGGGCGGAGCCTGTGGGCGGAGCCTGTGGGCGGAGCCTGGGTACCTACCAGCGGACGTTCTGCGGGTCCGGCGCATACGTCACGCTCCAGTTGTGAACATGGAGGACTTCGCTGAACTGAGAGGAACACGGCTCCTGGCGACAACGACAACCCTGAACCTGACAGGCGTTGAAGTCCTTCAGGATGCTGTGGAGGAAGGGGGCGGAGTCAGAGAGTAGGGGGCGGAGTCGGGGATATAGGGGCGGGGTCAGATAGAAATGGGCGGAGTCCGAGAGAAGGGTCAGAGACAAGGGGAAGGGGTTAGAGAGTAAGGGGCGGAGTCAGAAGCATGAATGCCAACGGCAGAAAGAAAGACATTCGATGTGAGGAATAAAAGTAATCTAAGTGATGAAATGAATGAAATCGTGTCATTCGGTATTTTTTATGTAAAATCTGAGCTGTGGTTTTGGGTCAGCCTCTCACATGGCGGTCATGGCCTCGTTCTGGAAGGTGACGAAGGCCATGCCCAGGGGCTTGGTGTGGACCTTCTCCTTCTCCTTCCTGTACTCCTCCTTTAGCTTGGCCTCTCTCTTGGTGTAATAGCTCACAGCTTCCTCCTGTAGGGGAACCAGACGCGTTAACGGTTAATGGTTCTGAATCCAGCAGCTGCGGATGAACGAGGGACTGGACGGGCAGAGGTCACCTCCTCGCAGCCGGCGATGGCGCAGCAGCACAGGTGTCCGCAGGGTTTGGGGTTGATCATGGTGGGAACGTGCTCCTTCGCCATCAGGTCGGTGAAGAACTTCTTACTGCGCTCCGTCTTCTTCCTGCAACCACACCCAGAAAACGTCCTGAATGCCCCAACAACAGGCCCCGTGACCCGGGACCGACCCGGACTCACCTCTCAGCGCTCAGCGCCATCAGTTTGGCCACGTTGTAACAGATCCGAGCCTCCAGAACCACACAGTTGTCGTAGGCCTGCCTGCGGAGCAGCATGGAGGGAAGGGTTAGCACAGCTGCTGCGGGCCGGCTGCTCCTCATTACAGTAACACTCACTCGAAGTGCTGCTTGATCTGACTCTCATCAGCATACTTGGAGATGCCGTTTATGAATAAAGTGCGTTTCACCTGCAAGACACAACCCTGGGATTACTGGCCACTCCAGCTCAAACCCAGTAGACGTTCTCAGAACCAAGTGGATCAGATGCAGCGCCGCTTCTCCTACCAGATCATCCTCCTTGTAGTGCATCTTAGACGTGTGTCTCCTCATGCTGTAGACCGTCAGCAGCAGGTACATGAAGGCAAAGGTCGTATGGAGCCACAGCAGCTTGGTCCTGGAAACAAGAGCCAGATCAGTTTCTGTCCACTCAGGTCCTGTTGGGTTGATGCTGCGTTCGTCTCTGCAGTCTGCCATGCTACGCTGCAGCTGTCACCTTTTACTTTAAGTATTGCTCCTCTGTGGAAATCTTTATGCCGAGCTAGCAGTTTCCTAAAAGTTTCTTCTAATTCCAGTATCCATGCTAAGCCTGGCTAACGTTTAGCCTGTGTTTTAGGTCTTCATGCTAAGCTAGGCTAAATCAATTCGAAATCTTATACTTCATTTGTGGTTTATGGTCAAACTTCTTGATGAAAACATGCAAACAAATGGTGTGTGTCGCCTGGAAGCAGACTGAGCGCCTGCACTCGTCTCTACTCACTCTGACTTCAGGTTGGCGATTGTGGTTCGTCCGAAGCTGTAGGCGTTGTTCTCTGGAACAGACAGACATGGCAAAACGAGTCACGAGTCCAGCAAGTGAAACCTTCCCGTTCCCACAGTTCTGACACTGTTCCAGACAAAAAGCTGGAGGTTTAAATCTAAACGACGTCAGGGTTTCTGGAGTGAGAATTCACCAGAACCTGGTTTCTACGGTCCAGACTCGGGTCACAACAATCAGCATCTACAGACCGGATGGGAGTGAGTCCAGGTCCAGCTAAAACCACCAGCTAGATCACGTCTAGAGCGGCGCAGAGCACCTCCCGCCCTGCAGCCGCCGCCTTTACCTTCTTTGGAAGGAGGTCCAGGAGCTCCCTGGCTTAGGAAAGCATCTGCACTGATAATTCTGACTAAAACCAACCAGAAACAGATGGAGAGCATCATGAAGGGAATCCTGCAGACCACAGTCTGTCTTCAGCTGGAGCACTTACCCAGCAAGTCACCGGAGAAGTTCACCGGCAGGACGATGCCCACGGAGAGGACGCCGACGACGACCAGAAGGCCGATGATGTGGCGCTGGAAGGACAGGTAGTGCACGGCGTCCTCGCCGCACTTCTCACGGATCTCCTCGTCCCTGAAGCATCGACGAAGGAGACAGATCTCAGACCCTCAGATCAGACATTTCCAAAGCAAAGGGAAGCTGGCGGGTTGTTGAGAGCCAGACTTACTTTATTCTGAAGATGGCCGTGAGCCAGGAACAGAAGCCCTGCAGGAGAAACCAGACTGATCAGAACCAAAACCCCGGAGCATGAAGAACAGCGGCAAACCATTTATTTTGTTGTACAGAAGAAAAACATCATTTCATTTCAGGTCATTTCCATCACAAGAAAGACAAGAGTAAGCAGACGAGGGGCGGAGCCCGGCGGCCGCAGCGGTCTGTGTTTCCTGGCACATCGTCCCACTTCATGGCACAACCCAGCAGCCATGTTGTCTTCAGCTTATTGAAATGCTGTGTATATCAAATATCACTGAAATTAATAGCAAATCTTTAAATGCCCTGACACTGGGCCACTGTCTCTTTAAGCTCCGCCTCCAGGAAGTCATCCCAACATGGCTCCTCTATTAACCCTTTAACTGCTAGCACATTGTCTGGGAGAGCTGAGGGAGGAGCTGCTGATCGAAGGCGGGGCTAGGTCCACCCGGGCGTTTTGCAGCTGTTGCCATGGAGATTAAAGAGGATTTCTCAAACATGAAAGAATCAAAGCAGCACAGCAGGGAAAACATGATCATTTACTTCGTTACCAGAATACTGTAACAACTGAAAAATCCAAATACCTGGTGGCTCAGGCCTCCAGTTGTTTTTACAGTTTAAGGTAACGTTATTAACCCTCTGAATGCTTTCACAGCTTCAGCTGATCTTTGTAGTGCAGTTTTTAAATGTTTCACTGAAACTCTCAGCCTCCAGAGGCTCAGCTCCTCCGCGGTGACGAAACGCCTCACGCCGGCTCCGAGCCACTGGAGACATGTCTTTGTCCCATTTGTCCAATGCAGCTAAACGTCTGCGGCCGGCAGACTGCCCTCTGGACTGGCTCCCTGCTCGCTTATTTAAAGATACTTTTGGGCCGGGTGTCCTGCCTTGATAAGTATCTCCTTTGACTGGACGGGTCCTGGCTGCTTCCAAAGTGGTACGCCACCAAAAGCTGAACTTAACCCACAGTGTTCTTGCTAATTTTAGACCCATCTCTAAACTACTGTTTTTATCAAAAGTTTTAGAGAAGATTATTTTCACTCTGGTCTTTCCTAACAGATCATGATATATCTAAATGTGGACACAGAAAGTCTTTATTGATCTCCTAACGGCTGATTCAGGGACACTGGGGTTTTATCGTTATTAGATTTAAGTGCAGCGTTCGATAGCACAACATCCTTTCGTTTGGATTGCAGCACTGCGTTGGTCTGCAGGGCCCAGTCTTAGATCGGTTCCCACCGTATTTGAAAGACAGAAGGTTTTCTGTTCATCTTGATCTCTGTTCCTCTGTGGCAGCACCTCTAAATTATGGAGAACCTGAAGGTTCAGTTTTAGGTCCTATTCTATTTATTTTGTATTTGCTGCCTCTTGGACATATTTTGAAGAAATTGAATATCTCTTTTCAGCGTTTGCTGACGATGTGCAGATATACAACAGATTGCTTAACAGCAGTTAGCCAATGGATGAACCAAAAGCTTCTTCACTTGAATCAAAAATAAAACTCAAGTTGTTCAGTTTGGACAAAAGAGCCTCATTAGTCAACCTGGTAAAGTTCTTGGTTCCTTTGCTCCTTTTCTTCTGTTAGAAATCTCAGTGTCATTTTGACAGTTTGAAACCGGATCAGCAGGTGAGCTCTGGCGCTTTTTCCATCTTCTAGCAAAGGTTAAGTCCAGCCTTCATCACAACACGTTTAGACTATGCAACTCATCATGTAACAATGTGGACCAGTCTTCCCTACAGCGTCTCCAAATGATTCAAAATGCCGCAGCGAGACTTTTAACTGGAACCAGAAACCAGAGCACATGACTCCACCATCGGCTTCTCTGCCAGTTTCTTATCGGATTGATTTTAAAATCCTTTTATTGGTTTTTAAAGCTTTGGTTGTTTCCGTTGTTTTAAAAGGTTTATGTCAGTCTGCCTGTTCCCCATCGATACGCTTCCCAGCCGCCCTGCACCTTAAGGTGTTAACCTTAAGGGGTTAACACCTTA